AGAATAACACATCTTGAATTCTCAGTCCTTGATTTTGCAGACTCATAGCTCTTTTAACATACCTTGGGATGTATTATAGGTGTGCCTGGTATTAACGGTTATTAATAACGTTGTCTGCTATTTCCCTTTATAATCCTCATTTCATGTTGCTTATGATTTAACATCAATTTAACAACATTTCTCCTTGTTTTTGTCTGCCTCAGACTGGGTTTGTGTTTGCATGTGCATGCATGCTGTCTCTGGGCCAAAACATTTCCACTAAGTCTAATCTAAATTAAAAGTTTTTTTCCCCATAAAAAAGGAAAATTTGTAGTATCCTCAACTGCAAAGGGAAAATTTGAATATTTGTTTGCATTCTCTAGAAAAATTAACTCAAACTGCCACTAAAATCCTGCAGTTTGCATTTACTAGCAGAAACTCTCTACAGCATCAGGACATAAATTCTACCCACACTGGCAACACTTCACAGAACAATTTTCTACCTGAAACTGATACTGTAAGCTGCTGCTGCTGGGTTTACCACGAAGTACCAAACTTTAAAATAAAGTGAATGTAAAACCAATGGGTAATGGACTGACAGCAACTGACTGGGACAACCAGGTAGGGGAAGCTAGAGCTGGAACCTAACCTAGTGGAAAAGAGAAAAGGAAGTGGGCGTTGGGGCCAGATATGGAGCAGAAATGACTGGGGGAGTTCGGCAAGAATAAGAGTGCAAATTAGGGAAAGAAAAAAGTTCTTGATAGATGGGGTAAGAAGTAGTAATGCTGGCATTTCCAGTTTTAAGAGCCTAAATTTGCAACCCTAACAATAACAGGATGTGGGACACATGCACGTGTTTTAGACAACATGCACACATTTACTATAAAGGGGAAAGACAGCATCACGTCTTGTCATTAAAATCAGAAATGGTCCTTGGACACTGGTGTGTGGCAACTGAATATGGCTCTTTTGGATTGCCTGCTCACCACAGGTGTGCTGATACACCAACTGCAGATGCAAGGGAATCAGGAGCTAGATGATCTCTGCTAGCATTTCTAACAAACAGTGCAATGGTTATAAATACCCTGAGCTCAAAAAAAGCCAGTAATCAGTTCTAATGTTAATATGTGCCCTTTTTTTTAAATTTTATTGATAGACCCAGGCAATCTGTGGGTCTGCAGAGTTGCTGGGAATTGCTAGGGATTGCTGAGAACAGACGAATTGACTGTGCTGGGGTGGAAGTTGCTGTTTTCCTCCATTATGTCACTGACAGGCGCAAGGTTTTCTCCTCACTCTCAATAAAATCATCATCAGCATCGCTCTTCCCACCTGCACAGTTTTCTGGATCAGGCCAGGGGTTCCCTACGGAAACACCAATATGGGGGAACTGTTGCATACAGTTAATTGTGGGGCTGTCAGCAGCGGTGTCAGAATCCATACTGACTGCCTCTGCAGAGATCGGGTCTGATGCTGGAGCGAGCTACATTTACATCTCAGCTCTGTCCTAGCTCCTGGTTGGGACACACAGATTTGGAGGCAGGCAGCATGGAGACCAGCACAACTGAGGGTTCTCGGTCACCTGGCTGCCTGCAGCAATCTCCATCCAGTAGGACACAGTGGTTCAAAACTGTGATGAGTGAGTGAAATGGAGAGATGTGAAGAGATGGCAAAAATTTGCTTTGGCAGGTTTCTGTAAGGAGCAATGAGGAATTAGGAAGGATCTTTACAAACTCCCAAGAATTGTAATTTGACAGTATCTTCTTTCAATCCTTCGTTTCAGCCATAAGCCCGCTTAGTTCAAGCAATGGGAACAAGGTCCAGGGAATGCCCCAACCCTTCCTACTTTTCCAAGACTCCTACAGACTTCAATTTATGTTCAGAGCAACCTGGGCACTGCAATGACTTGCTAAGATGGAGAACTGAAGCAGAGAAAGGCGATGCATCTTGTCCAGGACCACCCTGAATGCCTTCAGCAGAGACAGAAATCAAGCTCAGATCACCTGGGTCTCAGCCCTGAGGTTTAACCGTAAGGCACTCACTCATCTTCCCTAGTGACAACTCAGGATGGATTGGACAGTATCTACCGTTCTGAAACACCGCGAGGCAGCATGCTGGGAGGAATCGCTGTGAAAAGAGACAGGGGAGTGTCTCTACATGCCACTGCCTGGATGAGTAAAGAGAAGGAAGAGCCAAAGAGATCTAAAATAATAGAAGCAGCATCCTACCACATCTTCTGCTTCCTTCCTGCCTGCTGTTTGCTCACAGACCTCCCCTGCTCCTGGAGGAATGCAGAGACTCACCGTGTTACTTTGGTATTTCAAGGACCACCTCTCCATGAGACTGTCTTGCTGTGCAATTTCTGCAGTAAGCAGAATTATTCCTGCAGCCCCTAACACAGCTCCTCTTCCCCTCGAGGGTCTAAAGACATGTTTAAAACTACAGCTTATTCCTCTGTGCTGTGAATGTGCAGGACTTGCACAATACACATTTCCAGTAATGGGGGTTCATTACAATCAAGGTCCAATGTGCAGTCTGTCAGTGACAAATTATGTCAATGAAACAGCAAGTTTGTCCTTGCCTCCCTCTCCTACACAAACACAATTGGATTGAACTTTTATTGTTTTCTCCAAATAGCCATCAGTGCTACAGAAAACTGCAGATCTAAGGTGCAGTCCCACTACCACTGAGGTATGCAATACAGCATGCTTCAGGCTATGTGATTATCTTCATGAGGCCAGTCAAGGCTCTGTGGCGACCTAAGGCCTACTCAAGCTTTGGACTAAACTTAGCAATTTGCTTGTGACAGCAACGAATTTTTGACTGCTCTGCTGTACTGACAAAGTTAGCTGCATCGCACGGCTCAACCCCATCTGCTCCTCCCACTCTGACTGACAGAAATACCTGGAGACTCCTTGTGTGACTGTCAATGGGAATGTTACAGTTTCATCTCATCAGTGTTCACGGCACAGATAAAACCATTCTGGAAATTAACTTCTGGGTGCACGGAGAAGCATCTCATTAAAGCTCAGTATCTCAGCCATGATTCACTGTTTTGTTCCTTTTCATGCTGGCTGAATGTACCAACTATCAGGGTAGGTAAAACTGTTGCCTTGAAAAGCTATGAGGATGGTTACTGTGTGTGCTCCAAGGGAAGGGGAGTCAGAACTGTATCGCCTTTCTTTGTGAACAGTGTGGCATATTGTTATATATTCCTTCCTTCCTTCCTCCCTTCACCCCCCAAACCAGAGAGATCACAAGACACCAGTATCAGCCATGCTGGGCTCCATGCCAGGAGAATTAATGAAGTGGTGTAATAGCTCACACGGAGGCCTAGTGATTGGCACCACACTTAAAATGCATCTGCAAGGCAGGAGATCAGAGTGTTGCTGCTGTGTTCTGTTTATTACAGGCACGTCTCTTCCGTTCCATTGATTTCTTTATTAGCGCGTTTTAAGGCTGCGATGTGGGGGCTGGCTCTGCTTGAAGCATGGAGGTTTGAATTCCAGCACAGCTGATGGAAAGGAAGTCTCCCTTTGAGAGTCTAGACCTGGATGACAGAGCCTGGCGCTAGCAGAAACAGGAACCCTACTGAGAGTTTCCCAAGGAGTTTGAAAAATCCTAGAGGGCAATGTGAGATTGGGTTGATTTTTATACTACTTTAGTTTTTTAATGGAAGGAAGGGAGAAAATTTTATCTAAAGAGTGTAGAGGCTTTGTTGTAACAGCAGGGAGGACTTGATTTCCTAATCTAGAGGGAAGGTTTGAAAGCAGCTTCAAGCAACAGGTGTGCAAACTCATAGCTCCTTGCTTTTCATCTGTGCTGTTAAGAGGCCAGCTCTTGACTTGACAGGGACAGGAAGGAACGGGTGGGTCTTAGTGTACTCATCAACCAGCATTCAATCACATCATGAACTTCAAACAATTTTTCTATCCATTATTCATGACTTGGAAAGCAGAGCCGTGTTGCTCGGGACTGAGACACAGTGGATGGGCTGTACAGGGAACGATGATGGATCCATGTCTATCCTGAACTGTCTTGGCTCAAAGCACAGGCTGAGAAAACATGGACTGTAACCAGCTGAGGATAGGGCTGGGCTGAAGTCATCAGATTCCCACTACCAAAGGCCAGGAATAGTAGGTTTGTACAGAAGGAGGTGGAAATCTGCTGGTACTGTCTGCAACTCCAGTTGCTGAGTTCACTGTTAGAACAAAGCTGGCGTAGTGGTGCCAGGCTGCAGCAGCTCAATGCAGCTGCTGCCCTTGCCACAGCTCACTGCAGCAGCCCCCTGCAACACCACACCGAGCCATAACTGGGGGTGAGGGGCATGGTCCAGTGGTGTCCATAGAGGCGATGGTGGTGAGAGGGCATCATGCAGGCTGTCCTCAGCTTGCTGGCTCCCTTGGAAATTCCTAGACAGCTCTTCTGGCAATTGAATTGCTACGGAAATGTTTATAGATTGCCCCTGCAATATTCCTTCAAGCAGCCTCCTTTGCATCTCCATTCATGCCCGCTTGTAATTGCAAAGGACGCTGCTGCTGCTCTGTCCATGCTGCACGTGAGCCAAAACCAAGCAGTATGGAGCATGAACAGGAAGAGCTGCAAGCAGACAGCCTAATCAGAACAAGCACATTCCATTTCAGAACCTCTAGATTCGTTTTTTTTACCCCCTAATATTTTTAAAGCCTCTTCTTAAAACAGTCAACACTACTGCTTCAGTTCCCCAAAATTATATGGCCAGTGAAAGCAAACACACACCAGTGTATGCAGATGAGTCCAAACCTGAAAGTCTTGGTGTTTATATCCATGTGACACCTACAGAGGCCTGCTTTTCACTGTAAAGCACTTGGAAAACCTTCTTTCATCTCTCTCATACACTATGTGCATCATATCAATTCATTATCTTGCTGGGAAATAACAATGCAGAGTGCAAGTCTGCAGGTCTTCACTGAAACCCTGACTGTAGGCAACTATTATGTCTGGAATCTATCAGTGATTTTTGCAATATGTTCTCAGACACTCACCCACAACTGGTTTCTAACAAGCTGTCCCCAACCTGCAGCGATGCCATCCCAAAGTCTGCTATCCGGATGTTGTTCTTTTCATCCAGCAGTAGGTTTTCTGGTTTTAAGTCCCTGTGGCTGTAAACAGAGGATCAAAATGTGAGTCAAATCATCCATGACAGCTTTCCCACTCTGAGACTTGTTCTTTATCCAGCATAGCATCCAACCTATTGTATTTTAATTGATTTTATTTTTTTCTTGTCCTAGGCAGAACACACATATCCAAGATCCAATCTTTGCAACACTCCAGTCAATGTCCCAGATGCCCACTCCTGATGAATGTGAGGCTTGAGCCTGCAGTGCCCTGACAGGAAATGAACATCTTCAACTTCCAGTGCTACCAACACAATCTGAGGGAGAGACAGAGGGACATAGGTAGGAGGAAAATTTCAGCTTGGATTTAGGGCTGATATACTCCATCACGTGCCAGCTCCTTAAGGTAGGAGGCAACACCATCAATATATCTTGTCAACAATAGGAAACAAAATAAGTGATATCTAGAGGAAAAAAAAAACCAAAACATTCGTGGTGTAAATGCTACTGCAAAAAGCCCCTATTAGGATTTGTTTACATAGGCATATGGTTTTGAAATAATTTTGGGTAATCAGCTTGGATGGAGACATCCCTTCAACCCAGCACTGCTTATTACTAAGGATGCCATTAGTGGGAAGGAAGAGAGAGGATTCCCTCCTTTCCATCAAAGCTTGATTTTCTTATTATTTGGCAACATGGGAAGAGCCAGGCAGCCATAAGCTTCAGGGTGACAACTCCTGTGTTAAATCAAAGATATCATATATTGACTGATTTATTAATCTCCATTACCCACAACCACCACTACTGTGCACCCATGTCTGCTTCTTAGTACTCGTGTTTTCGTACAACTATTAATATTTACTGGATTTTCTACCCGAAGACAAAAATCTTGCACAAAATTTGTGATGACTTTGCTTTTTTCTTTTTATTTGCAACTCTTGAAGAACCACAGAGGTGAGAGGAGCACTTTAGGTAGACTAAAGAAGCAGCTCTTTTCTTGTTTTTGCTTATGAGTAGGCAAAACGTGTCTTTGATGTCTGGTTAATAAAAGGTCCAAATACGAGCACTCAAACCTCGCGGGCAGAACGGCCAGCTTCGGTGCCGAGCCAGAACACCAACCTGAGGAAACCGCCAGTCGACAACACATGCAGCGTCAGGCTAACAACAGTCATTTGCAACAATGGCTCACTAATCCCAGTCACCCTGACTAGAAACTGAACTCAGCAAAAGAACCAGCCTTAGGGTAGTCTAGGGCAGCCTTATCTTCATGTCATTTCCTCTTCGCTTTTTAAGACGCTCCTCTAGCACTCCTCATGCACACAAGGGTAATTCTACCTCTACACAACTGTAAAGGACAGCTCTAACCTCTCAGAGAAACATGAGAGGCATGACAATGTCTTGGAAATGATCTCCTCTGATCTGAAGGAGCTGACAATGTCTGGCATGATCAGTTAGAGACAACTTGTAAATAATGCAGGTCAGTTCCACGCAAAACCAGAGCACAGTGTAATAGGACACCTGGGGAGGTAACAGATATTTCCAGCAACATAGCCCACATTCATAGCAAGTACTGGTCATTTACCTTATCACCGAGTCCTGTGATTCCTTCCCCCTCACTTTATAAATAGCATAAAATTTGGTCTCCAGTGTTGTAAAAACATGATGAAGCCTGTGTGTTCAAGTGGCCTTGTTAACCATGGGCAAACAATCCGGTAAATAATGGAGCAGCATGATTCAGATTTGTGCATATTTTCAACTGACAAAGCAAAAGGTGCTTTATCAAATCTATGTCATAGAAATAAAAATATTTATTCATAAAAGTTTTTATGGAGGATCAAATGGGAAAATAAGGTTCCTAGAAAGTAGCAAATATGTTCAGGGTTTTTTTGGACAGCCACTGCTAGAGAGAGAAGGAAAAGGAGGTGCCACCATCCTCATTCCACATGTGGAATAAGCTTCCCCCCACTGTGCTGTGCAATGCTTTTCCATGAATGATCAGCCTACATGGGCTGACAGTGGTCTTTAGGCAGAGGTCCTGACCCACCTCCCAGAGAGCATTTTGAAAGCCTTCAGTTGGGATTTGGGGACTTGCAGGACCGGGATAGTGTGTGTGAAAGGAAATCTGGACTGGCAACAGACTTTAAATTGTTTTTCTCTCTTTTGTTTCTCCAGACACCAAAATAAAACCAAGAAAAATGATCATCTCTTCACTGTAGCCCACTGAGTAGAGAGCATGGACTCTGTTGAGAATCGTTACATTTATTGCTGACTGGGCCCTAAAATACAAGAACTGTCATATGGCAGTTTTGTACCTCTCCGACCCTTTTTCATCGCTCTTTCAACACCGTTTCTCATGCCCAGTATGGCTGGGTAGCATAGGAACTTCATGGCAGCCTGAGTAGTCTTTGTGTATTGTGGCAGCACTCCTCAGAGATCAGAAGTGCTTGCACATTCAACCACAGGAGGACTTTATGCCCCAATGAACATCTTCTCCTAGCTGGAACATTTCTCTGCAATCCATCTTTGGACCACTTTGAATTTGCTGAGACAGCATCCTGGGGATGGAAGTCAGGCCAGGAGTCTGCACCAGACTGGCAGAACCAGCATCACTGGACGGGGAATGAGACTTCCTCTGTGCATTTGCATTCCCATCTTTGTATTGCCAGCTTGTACAATGCCAGAAGGAAGGGAGAGGAACATATGGGAATAGGGAAGGCTTGGTATAATTTACCTAAGAGCCCAGCAGCCTGGACAGCCTTGTGCATTCATATTTGGAAAGAATTCTCTTGTGCCAAAATGAAACACAACAGAACAAAACAAAAATCCCACTGTATGTGGTAATTACTTGGCATTAACAGAACATTGCCGAGTACATGCATTTAATTTGGTCCCATTCCAACTGATCTCTCTGTCTCTCTCTGTCTTATATGACCACATCAACACCTCTCTCTGCAGGTGAACAGAGGACTCGTTACCCTTTCGTTGTTCTAAAGGCTCTAAAGCTGTAGGGGCTTTATCACATGTCTGGAAAATCAAAAGAGAAGAAAGCAGCTTCTTTAGTGACAAACACAGCGAACTCTCCTATTGAGCCCTGCATATGCTGAAAAAGAACATGAGAGAGAAACGTAGCACTGCAGAAGTCAGCGTAACCCTGATCCAGGGTGGCCACAGACCACTCTGAGCTCCTCAACCAGGACAACGGAGCAAGGAGTTAGCTCCAGGAGCATGCACCCTTTGGAGGGAGAGCGTGTGAGTGGAAGGGAGCCATTAACAAGCCATGACAGGGGAAGCACACACTGTCAGACTCTCAACGTCCCCCTTTTGCAGATCACTACAAAGGCTTTACAGCTCCCTTGCAGCACAAGATGGATACAGGGAGAGGCCTGAAAAAATTGTCCCATGGAAATAGGTGCAGTTCTGGGAGGCAGTGCACAGAAAACAAAAGGCACACATACGTGTTAACACGTTCCAGCTCCCCGCTTACGCACTGGCCACGCTTGATTTCTGGTTGCTCCCAGTGATGCTACCCAGAGAGTTCCTCTAGCTCTCTCCGCTGCCTTTCTAGTCTGTCCTCCTGCTCTGGGAATATACCCGTATTGGTACTGCAGGCAATTGCAGCATAGAGAAAAAAGAAAGAAACCACTTTCTCCCTATCACCCAGGGCTGGCAGAAGATTTTTGGTGTAGTGACAGACTCCAGATCCTGGATTCAATGGAGCTATGTCACCTGGCACAAGATGGTGAACTAACCCATTATTTTAAAGTGATTTTTGAGCTGAAACGTTCAAATCAGTTTCTATGACAACTCATTGTAGGTCACAGATTTCTAACCCAAGAAACCTCCTAATTGGAGTAGTTGCAGGTCATTTGTACTAATCAAATTGTGGGCTACTTTGCACATGCTTTTCTTACTGACCCCAAACCCCCAGAAGGGACAGACTACAGAGTAATTGTGCTGCAGTATGCCTCTTAAAAGTGCCTGATGTGATGGAAATAATCTATCGGTAATAATTAACAGTATGAGAAGCAGTATTTTTAATTTTCTTGAGCAGAAAAAGCCTTTCAGCTTATTTTCTCTTGCTTCTGTGAATCACATCCAAGCGTGCAACTTGTATCTACCTACAGAAGAATCTTTGTTTAGAGCCATGGTTGCTATGCTCAAATTTAGTAAGTTTTCACAGAATCCTGCAGCACAAATAAATATAGTTACAGCTATGAAAAAGGACAACAACTATAAACATACCAGGAGACCTGGAGAAGGGTTTGCATGCACAAATCCTTGCTTGCTTTTTAACAATTATTTCCAGTGATCTATTAATTTATATTGCTCTTCCTTACCAACCTTGCCTCAAAACATAGATTCATGTATTTCAAAGCCAGAACAGTCTATCAGGGCTGATCACCACTGCCATACTTGCCAGAGACTATTACCCAGTTATGCTCACAATAAGACTACGCCTACTATTTTTATTTATTTATATTAAATTATTA